GAGTGGGCGTGCGGGGGGCGTCTGAGCATGCATCTTTTGCTGCTGAGACTGCATGTCGAAGCGACGTGACGTGGTGCGGATGAGATTGGAGATTTCCTCCTGCTGTGTGAGAGGTGATTCCCACGGCACATACGAATTGGAGATGGCATCGGCGGCCGGGGAGGCGTTGGCAGCCCCGAGATTAGCTGCGGCAGCGCTAGCGGTGAGGGCGTCGGCGGTGGTATAAACGACGCTTCCATCTGCTGCCAGTGCTGTTGTGGTGCCGTCGCCCAACGTAATCTGCTGGGGCTGACTGTCCGGGTACAGGATGAAATCGGCCTCGCCGCTCATCATTGGCATGGGACTCGAGGCGTGTGAGAGAGAGTTGTTGAACTGTTGCAGCTGCTGGTATTGAAGCAGCTGCTGCTGGTGCAGTGCATAATCCTCTCCGGTGGGCGACAACGTGGAGGAGGCAGCGAGTGCCGGCATGGCATAGTTGTGAGCAACCTCATCATCGTCGCCATACTCTTCCTTGTGCTTCGTCTGGACGCTCTCGGTCTCCCCGTCAGCGTCAGCGTCAGCATCAGCGGCACCGGCACCGGCACCGGCACCGGCAGCGTCGATTTCGCTGCCATACTCGTGGTCGAGAGCAGTGTTGTCATTGCTGCTTGCACGAGCCGCCGCATTGCTGCCGTTGTTGTGCCGGCTGCGGTCGTACGTCCAGCCGTGTGTCTTCTCCATGTGCTGCTTGCAGTTCGACTCGCGCTTGGAGCTGTAGTTGCAGCCCTCGAAGGAGCAGTGGAAAGTGGGTGGCTTGTCCGAGTGCCGGTCGTCCATGTGTCGCTGGAGCTCCTGGGATGTAGGAAAGCCGCGCTTGCTGTACTCGCAGTTGGGCATCTGGCATTTGAATGGCCGTGTGTGCGTGCGCCGGTGGCGGTTGAGGTCGCAGCGGCGCTTAAACGTACGTTTGCAAGCAGGGCAGACACTGACTGTCCCGGTCCCAGCAGTGGCCGGGGACGACCGCGAGGCCGTCATGTTTGTGGTTGTATCCATTTTGATGGGAGTGTGGGTGGTGGCGTCGGCATTGGCGTCGACATCGCCAGTCGGGATGTAACCGGGGGGTTGAGGGACAGGATTGTTGTAGCGTGGCTGGATGTGGCCAAACATGTCGGTGCCACCGCTTGTGCGACCTGCGAGGAGACGATGGATGTTAGTATGCACGTTGTCGACGCCGTTGTTCATATATTTCTCTGCCTGGGCTGGGGCCGCACCAATTTGGACGTTGCGGGCGTGATGTTGGTGTGACGCCATTGTCCCGAAAATTGCAGATCGACGGTCAGTATTCAGCTATGCTATTGTCCCGACAAACGATCCGTGTTGACTTTGTTATCCCGTGAGGGAGGAAAACCGTCGAGGTGATCGGTTTTGCTGACGGGGGCAGCTCGCCCCGTCGACAGCGTTAGGTCAGTGAGAGGGAGTCGTTGGGGTAGAAACTGTCCAGCAAAAAGAGGACGACCAGAGCCTGTCTACCAAAAGCGACCTTTTGGTGAAACATCAACACGGAGGACCTATGTAGTGGTCGTAATCGTCGTCGCTGTGTGGCCGAACTGTTGGCGGGGACGATGTTCTCGATATGCTTGTGTTGGTGGAAGTACTGGTGGCTGCGTTGTGTTATTTGGTATATCGACAGTCTTCGTCGGTGTTGCTTCTGTGCGATGACAACGATAAGCCCCGAGAGGGATAGAACGAGAGGAAGAAAAAGAAGAGAATGATGTTTGAGAAGTAAGGCGATGATGAGGACAAGAACGGACAGAGGGAATGCAAATAAAAAGGAATAATTGTGATAAAAGGAGGATGGAAGAGAGAGAAAGAAAAAAGACGAGGGGAATGGGAGGTGGGAGGTCAATATAATATAATCAGAGTTGACCTCGCGCGAGTCAGGGACAGAGAGCTTGGAGCTATCTGTTGGAGGAGACTAAAGACTGGGCATGCAGAACAGACAGACCGTGGCGAGAGGAGTCGAGATCACATAGAGGTTAATCATATACACCCCATCAACCATGCACCAGGGAGGAGAAGAGAAGAGGCGAGAGAGGAGGAGGGGGGGGTGTGGAAGGAGGGCAGCGATGCGAGGAGGGCAGCAGAATCTACTTATACTACCACAGGTTGTGACGTAACAGGAAAGAGCGACCACGGACTAAACAGCTCAGCGGGAGAGCAAGAGAGCAAGAGAGCTAGAGAGTAGGACAGGAGGAGGCAGGAGAGCAAGAGGCCAGGAGACGGATAACAAGGCCGGTGGGGAGTAAAGAGGAAGCAGCGTGGTGAGCGGAGGGGGAGGGTGGTTGTAAGTGGCGGCAGGTGTGGGTTTTTGGCCTGTCAGGACTGAAGTAGGGGTGTAAGATAAAGACAGACAGGGAAGCAAGCGACCAGGACAGACTGACAGGAGCGGGAAGGTGCAGGTGGGAGAAAAGCAAAATGAAAGAGATGAGCAGGTGCAGAATATATTCAAGATGGGAGTGGGTAGCTTTTAAGAAGCTGCAGAGAGTTGTGTGTTTTCTATGGACCAACCAGTATGTTTTCCACTCTTTTCTCCTGCTTGGCCTTGCTGGTCGTCACCTTTGCTTGAATCTCTTGCACACGGCAGATGATGGGCGAGGGGATGTTCGAGAGATGTTCGAGAGATGATACGGCCACTTGGACCGACGAAAGGAAAGAAGGCTCGGTACGTTGGCTCATTTGTCTTATATTCGGAAGTGCTTCATGGCGGCGAGACCTTGTTTGCGTGGAGTTGGTTCGTCGCCCTTCGTGTCTTGTGCTTGTTTGAATTCCGACCTCCCTCAGGCGGCACCGCAGTGCCATTACAGCGCCTCCTCCCAAGGTCCACCATTCTGGAAGAAGAAGAAGACGTGCCTCTGCTCTTGTTGCATGAAGGAGGGACGAGGGGAGGGGGGGCAGAAGGCCGGAATACAAGGATCAAGAGGGACACTTGGTGTGGAAAGAAGCGCAAACAGCACAAAAAAGGGTCCCAGAACAGCCAGTAGAGGGTCGACCAGGGGGGTCGGTGGAACCGGCCAATGGCTATTGTTGTCCAGCTGCGCAGTGGCTGAGGCCGTGACAAGGCTGGGCTGGAATTCTATGTTTGCACCAACACAGCGCCCAGGAAAGCTTGCGAGGCGATGGACAAGGGAACGGAGACTTGGCCGGGTCAACCCGCCACGAGCATGCTCCAAAATACGCCGGAATACTGTTTGCAAATGATGAGGGAGGACGAAACCGAAAAATGAAGGAAAACAGGAAAAAGAAAATGGAGCATCCCAACGGCCCCAACCAGAAACAGAGAATTGGCAAACCAAAAGCCGACCAATGATTTGTTCATTTTTAAACGATAGGACTGCAGGCGTCAAATACGCTCTCGTACTTGGGTCGGAATTGACAGTTGAGTTGAGGCGCCTCGACAAACGTCGACAAACCTCGCTCGTTGCAACCGGCCCAGCACCACGAGCCTCCAAGTGAGCCCTCCCACAGCACCCGCCGCCGCCAGCTAACTGAACGCCAGCCAAGAGAATATACCAGGGGGCCTGCACGCATCATCTGCGTTCTTCCCAAGAGCGCTCTGGAATGTCGTCTCCGGCAAGTTGGGGCCTGGCTCACTCGCATCACACACCACAAAACGAGGCACGTCACGTCTTGGTTGTAGCTGTCGCCATAGACGTTATCGTCGCCACATCCACTGTCATTGCTCACCTTTTTACACTGTCTCTTTCGAAGCGCAATTTCGCTTATCGGCCCTCATTGTTTTCTTTTCCTTCTTTTATTGTTCTTTTTTGTTCTATTCTTCCTTTCCTTCATCGATCTGAACATCCCCCCCAGTCCGTGTCCATGTACTTACAGAGTAATACAGGGCCCGTATGGTTTGCCTCTTTTTGGAGAGGGGATACAGAATAGGCATATTTCTTTTGCTTGCTTTTCTTTTTCTTGTTCCTGTAACCACGTTCGTGGACGCCTTTTTTTTGTTCTCCGCAAATGAAGAAGGACGAGAAAAAACAGTCTGCGCTCGAATACATACCGGGCCTCTCAGTGAGGCCGTCCCTGCATTGTTTGTATTGTATGCTTATTTGTGGCGCTGAACAGGCGTCCTTTGAAAACAAACTGTGTAATTACGATGTATGGAGTAATTACACTCGCAGTGACAATGGACAACTGACGGAATCTTGTGCCACTGATTTCTCCAAGTAAAAGTGGGTTGGCCTGGCTGGCTCCTGGGCCCCCCAAAGGAAGGTCAACATGGTCTTGCAGCAAACAAGCGGCCTACTCCAGAGGCATAAAACAGCTGGGAGGGCCGCAACAGCGGCCCCTAATCTGCCAGGCGCCACATTAGGTTGACTGACTGCAGCTGTGTGTGTTGCTTGCGATTCCTTTTTCTCGAGTAGGAACACATTATTGCAAAGTTTTTTGTCTCCTGTTTCGTATCCAGCGTATTCTGCCTGTTGGTCCTCTGTGCCGATGACTTCCACAGGCTTAACAATGTACGTAACAAATGCCACATAACGTACTTGTGGACTTCGTGGCTGTGGCATCTGGGTCCATATCCTTTCACAACTGCCCAAGTACGATTCAGTTACACCAGTCAAGTCCACTTTCCATCACTCGTCATCGCGTCCAAGAGCGCCCAAGAAGTTCCCAAGACGCTCCCCAAGACCGCCGAAGAAGTTCCCAAGAACGGCCCAAGAACGCCACAGACCGCCGGTGCGTTGATATGCTTCTAATGGCGGACGACGTCCTTGGAATGCTTGGCCACCTGGGCAGACAAGTGACAAGGGTATCGACAGAGTAAAACCGCGGGGAAGAAGTTGAAGACGAGAAGGCGCCCCAATAGGAGGCCGAGGCTCCAACAAGAGTAGGCCAAACAGTTTTTGCAGTAATCATAGAAAGCGAGTGGGGCGAGTGGGGACCGCAGACGGGTGACGAACGGGAAAGATGGGAAGGAATAGGCTAGGGGTCTTGCCCACGCAAGACGCACCATGCAGCAAAAACAAAGTACGGATACTTTGATCAACGCGACGAAAAGGACAAGGACAAAGAAAAAGGCGCGCAAACGGCCAGCCAATCTTTTGGCGATTTGGGTACGAGCGCCCCAACAATGCACGACGACGACGCACGAGTCAAAACGACTTAGACAATCGACGGCGCCGTCGATTACGACGTCCTCCAACCCCAAAATTGTCTCCACAAGTCTTGCGTCTGGAGAGCCGCCTGTGGGGCAGCACGAGTCGTTTTGCTCCAACTAGATGTCCTCCCTCTTCCTTCGAATGCAGTGGCCACCCCATCAACACCTCCTGAACACGCCCTTCGCGCCATCGCGCCCTGGGCCCAAGCATCCTTCCTGAACCCACTCCTGTGCTTGTATCTGCACCTGCATTGGGAGGATGCGGCATGCGAGCAGAAGGACGGCAAAAAAGAAAATGAGGTATGACGGTGAGAATTCGAAGTCTAAGGACGTAGGCACAATGTACCGGTGGGCTAAACCAATAAATCATACTACACAAACCAGTAAGCATGATAGTAGTACTCCTTACAAAGGGCGCACTCCGTTGTATCTTACAGTGTACGTCACATTTATTGCTGCAAAAGAGTGCTTCCGGCTCATAGATATTCAAAAGACCGGACATTGTCTTTGCGCTTCAAACTGTTGGCGTTCCGGCGTCCAGTACTTATGAGCAAGGCACGAACATGCACGGTGGTACGGGGTAAAGGAGGACGTGGGAAAGGGGCGAGGGGCAGGGGGACAGGTTAAAATCGACAGGCCGGGGAGTCCAAGCACGGAGAAGGGGCACGGAGAAGGGGCACGGAGAGGGAGCATCTCGCAGTGTCGACTCGGCGAGCAGAGATGCTGGCTGGCCGTCGTGAAAGGGGCAACGAAAGCGAAGTACGAAGACAAAAAAGTGAGCTGGAAGGCACATCGTCCAGACGCTCGGAGCACGCTGGTATCTTTGCACTGCATCGAACACGTTTTTCTGTTGCGTCGAGTCATTCCTTGTTGCGTTGTGATAAACAATGTTGGCACCTTCAACCATGGTCTGTCCCTTGCTCTTTTTGACGCTGACCACGGATCATTCTCACATACGGCACGCCGCACGTCGTACTCTTTGTCGTTTATCTTATTGTCTCCCCTTGATATCATTCGCTCCTCGGCGTCACCGTTGGTCTGGCGTTTGTGTCGCAAAGGTGAACGGGCCACAAAGAGGTCCTGGATCGAGAGACTGGGGCGCATGGGCTGCGGACAGGCCCCAACAAACTCCACTTTATCTTTCTGGAAGGTGTATGGAAGGGACGAGCAAAGAGAGACAAGGGGACACAGGGCGCGAACAAAGATGAGGACAGCGGCAAGGGCACGTACATTTGGGGTGTAAGATACGGGGCGCACGACGATGGAGTCGAGAGAGACGAACGAGGGGAAAATAAAAAAGGAACATTTTCAACGCTTCGCCGGCCTTCAAAGAGGGTTGTTTTACAGGGTGCGGTCGGCCAGGGTCAGACGAATTAGGCAACACAACGGCGGTTCGTTATGAATTGTATTTTTGTGCCTTGTGAGATTGTAAGCGTAAGATGGAAGAAAACAAAGAAGCCAGATTCGGACACGCTGCATAGTCTGTATGATTCCTTTTTTCTCTTTCTCTTCCCTGTTGTGTTTCGAGACAGTCACATGAGAGGCAACATCCAAGCAGCAAAGAAAGCAAATTGACCAACGGTCACCACCTTTAGGCCAACGGCCATTGGCGGTATCATGCATTGATGGAAAGGTGCAGAGACACACTGGTACAAGCACGTATGTGTGGAGGCGCGGGTGATGCGCCCCGTTGCGCGCGTGAACAAAACAGGAAAATGGCTGCAACGAGGCGTAAAATCGGAACGCTTTTCGTCGTGGGTCGGAGAAGGACCCGAGTGCTGCTATTTGCTGTGAGGGACAACATAACAGCATACTCTGTAGTCCTGCAGTTGTCTTCAAAGTGGGAGGATCCAAAATGGTTTAAAATGTAAATTAGTCCGTAAAACACTGTCAATTCCTTTTGTCAATTCCGTCTTTTCAGACATGGACACTTTGTTTCGACAAATGACACACTGCCAAGTGAAGCTCCGTGGAGACCCTGCCACACAGTCCCTAGCAGCCGGGAGGCAACCCTTTCCTTTATGTAAGTGTGGATACCCCTGTCCGCAAGGCGGCTCTGCTTGGTGCTGTGCAAACTGGCAATGATTTCCCTTGGTCAGACTTTCTCTTGCCATTCCATAGGCCCGTCGTGCGAAGTAGACAGAGTAGAACTCGGGGCTCTCTCTGATTTTCTTGACAACCACTGAAAGTATCTAGACGTTCCTAATCCACCAACACTTGGCGACGATGTACAGCGGAAGTACCCACGAATTGCAACGCAGGGTAATGAGTAGAGAAACTGAAGAAGAGGCACGGCTTATTTGCAGAGTCGCATTTTCGTAGATACACCTCCCCCTTTACGAGCCAGCGAATTAGACATCCGCCCGGTAAAAGCCAGTCTAAATGTTCCGAGCGCGAAGGGTCCCTGTTGCTGGTTTCTTTGTCTTTTTCTGTGTCCTCCCCTTGAATTACTTTGTCTCCTGCTGTCCAACAAAGCGAAACAGACCACCAGATTGGTCTATGTGATCCATTCAAAATGACTACAAATTGAATCGAACCTTCACATCGGCAGCCAATCAACAAAAGTCAGATCCACCTCTGACTTTTTTTTCCGATATTTTGTTTGCTGACCTGGTCGAGTACGAGACGTTACGCTCGAATAACGGAAAGACAATTCGGATGACTGTGGTGTCATTTTTGACCAGGGGTGGTTTGTTTGGCAGAGTTGTTGGGACGGGCGAGAACGGTGTTCAGTGCCGTGTTGACCAGAAAGAAGAACAACCATCGTTATCTATCGTCATCCTACGAATGTACTGGTCCCTCGCAACTTTTATTTCCTGGCAGCAAAGTTTTCGAATGCGTAATTTACTACCACAGAGCTCTTTCAAGAGCTTGCCATCTCTAGCTTCGGATAACAGGACAGCCAACCCGGAGCGGCATCGGGGAGTAGGAATGTACAACAAAGGAACAAGACAAAGCCATACCGACTCGCGTCACCGAAGAGGCGCTTCAAAGAACAGGATGTCTAGAAGGATGCCGGCTGTTTCGAGGGTAGCGAGGGCAGCGAAGCTGCTGTCTGATGACAACCTGACCAACGTATTCACGTCCGAAAACACTCGGACTTAAATGGACAGACGACCGCGCCAGCTCGTCGGTCAAGAAATTTGCATGTCAAGACTGGCCGACAGTGCTGCGTATGCATGGGACAAGTGCAACTGTACTCCGGAGAATAGTACAAGGTTGTTGGTGATACCCGGGTCGACTGCTCGAATCCAACTACTAGTGTGTGCGGTTCCTTGTACTCCGTACATTATTGCATTTTGGTCCCTGTTTTTTATGCCGCTTGCCAGATGTGGGTAGTTGCTTCTCCTTTGCTTTTTCTTCCCTTCTTACCTCACTTGCGGCCCCAATTTTACGGCTCGTCACCTGCGCTTAACAACAGTGCATCATCCAGTGGATTTATTTGCATTGGGGACATGGGAAGGAGCAAAGTGGGCTGGGAGGAGGGGTGCACGTATTGACGGTGGCAAAGTTCATATTGCAAGACAGGAGAGTGAAGAGAACAGATGCAGAGAGGGGGGTCGAGAGGGTGCAACAGCCAGTCAAAATGAAATGCTAAATTGCTAAAATCCTAAAATGCAGTAGCCAATTTACGCAGGGAAAGAGAGATACACAAGGTGCCGTGTTGCATGTGTGGTGTATGGTGTTTACTTTTGTCGTGTGCCATATGGGGTGCATTGGCAGAAAGAAGTGGGCCTCAGTGGACAATGTAAGTGTACGGAGCACTCAGTAAATCCTCTGCTTGCAAAGAGCGACAGACGAGAAGAATAAAAGACACGGGAGGTGGCGCCAGGCTGCCAGGCCAGGCTTCCAAAGAAATAAAATAAAATAAATAATAATAATAATAATAAACCATTGCCGCAGGGTCAGTCAGACGACAGAAACGCAACAAGCAGAGCTGAATTTGGACAGACAGTGTTGCAACCGTTGCAGTCGAAGGTAAAACGTAAAAAGTTCTATAAACGCCAGCTACCAACCAACAACGACCATTCTCGCATCCTCGGGCGGCATCTAGGACTTTTCAGGCCCAGGTCTCAACATGCAAAGTGGGTAAACAACAGCAGCATGTGCCATACAGATCGAGACGGGAATAGTCGAGGGCAGGGAAGAGAGGGTGTGATGTCGAGCTGTGATTCGATTTTCTCTTTTTTTTTCCTTCCTGATCTTGTCCAGCCTGCCAGGGCGTTCTCTTCTCAACACTGAGGAGACGAGGCCAAAAACGCCATGCAGCACTGCATGGACAGTCGTATTACGATGTATTTTCAGATGCACGAGCCCGTAAGAGCGTCGGTTAGCAGAGCAACGAATCGCAGTTGTCCATGTGTTCTCCAGTGCTCGTTTGTGACTGGCTCTGTCTCAATCGCGGAAGATGAAAAAGAAAAGAGGAAAACAAGAGTCCGACGCAACCAATCTATTGTGCAGCTCACGACCGCCCCATTGGCAAATCAGTTGTTGTTGTTATTTTTTTCTCTTATCATTTTTCCCCGTAAGATGCTTCAAAACAAAACACGCCCTGACGCCAAAAAAAAAATCTCACAGGACACAAACTGATGCAGGCTGACCCGGGACCAGGGGATGATGCAGGGCGTGTGACCCATTGCCTCGTCATTCGCTCGATCGCGCATCCTTCCAGTCAACCCCTCTTTGCATATTGCACTCACTCTGCCTCAATCAAGCAGAAAAACACACGGTTGTGCAGATTGTGGCCATTCTTGCCTTGTTTCTTTCCTGCATATCCCAACATCCCCTGCACATTCAAATCTTTGCCTGGTTCTCGCATTACACTACTTTTTTTGGCGACAGCCTGCTGCAAAACAATGTCTGCCTGGCTCCGTCAGACGCCACTTTGCGATGAAGTACGTGCGCGCGATCAGACATTGCCAACAAACGGCAGAAAATAAGAAGAAAATAAGAAAATAAGAAGAGAAAAGAAAATAAGAAGAAAAAAGGAAAAAAAGAAAAAAAGAAAAAAGCCGCCAAAACTACCTGCTGTTGATTGTTTTGTTTTGAAAAAAATTTACTTTCTGGGATGAGGCCCCCTTGTCATTGCGTAAGATGCAGAAAATTCATATTCATATTTGAGACACATGGCTGGGCAAAAGAAAATGGGGAAGTAAAGTTCTACGATCTCGACAGAAAAGTGCAATTTTTTGTTTTGTTTGGATTGCAGGAGTCGCTTCGCATACGATGAACTTGCTTGTCAGCCATGCCACCAAGGGGCCTCCTTTGTTCTTCTTTCTCATCCCAAGGCATCCACATTACCACCGGGCAAGTCAAGAACATTCAGAGACCACATGGAAATACGAAACGTCGCCCCGGAAATGACAAGACTTTGTCGATTCAGGCCGCAACAAAAAGAAATAAAGAAACAAATCCAAGACACACTAGATGAGGCAGAAGAGGCGGAAGAGGCAGAAGAGGTAGAAGGCTGCCAAATTACATCGAACCTCGGTTCGTAGCCTTCGAAATTACTCAAATTACAAAACTGTGTCGGACGAGACGGCGACGAATGTACGCCGCTGCTCGCTCTGCCTGTGCGAATGCGTCGTGCCTGCATGCCCGAGGATGTTAGTTGGCTATTTGGCTGGAAACCTGGCCAACGGGCTCTGAGCCAAGAAGTTCTACAGCAGCCTCGTCAATTTCACAACGCCGTGACCACTCGTTGAAGAGATGAGGGGAGCGATCCTCTGGGCTCCTCCATGCAAGACTGTAAGATACGCCGAGTCGCTGAGCTTGGCAGGTTGGGGGTACAAAAAACGGGACAATGTAGGACGTACACCAAAAAGGTATTGAACCAAGAAATGAAATGGGGGTCCTGGGAAAAAAGGCGACAGCCGTTTTCGGTAACAAGTTGTGCGTTTCAATGATGCTTTGTTATTTCCTTGTTGCTGCCCAAGCCAGGTCTCAGATCGGCCTCTCTTCAAGAGAACGGGTAAAGAGTCGAAAAGGACAAAGATTTCAGCGGCACCATTCACCACGATCATCGTCCTCTGTGGGCAGTAATTACGACACAAACGTAGCCAAGCCTCCCCACCTGTCTAGGCATGGGGAAATCCCGTCGCCACCCAGCGTCAGCCTACTACACACTATTCGCACAACGAGCTCGGCGCTCACGGGGACAAGAACGAGAAGAAACCGGCTCCTGATGCATGTCTTGGAGATGACGACACGAACAAAAAGCATCGATCCCAAGTTGGGAAGAGCACACAATTTGCGAAAGACGGATCTGTATACTTTTGAAAGTGGTTCCATTCCGCGTTCAGGTCAGGCAGAATGGCTGACCTGGCGACGGCGCGAAGTGGCAGCGCTTACACTCCGTGCTACCTGTGTTTAATGTTTAATGTCTAGCTCGACCTAGCTAGGCTCGGGCCAGGCCTGACCTGTGGCGCCACTCGACATACGACGGCCAGGTAAAAGTCGGGAAAAAGCAGCGAGGGACGTCATTTGATACAGGCCCTCCCGCCAGCCAACACCCTTGTCCTTTTGCTGTGCCTCTGCAGTGTTCCGAAGCACGACTCTCCGCGGACACCAGCCACCTCTCTTTGTCCCTCTGTTGAATCGCTTTCCGATCATCGTCTGCGGCCTGCAAAGCCTAGACGGTCTCGACCGCTCAAATTGCAAAGGCAAAAGCAAGCATGGAGACCTAATGAGACGCATGACGTGCGCAGACGACGGAGAGCTGTTTGTACGAACGCGGAAAACACGGAAAACAAGAAACGAAACAATAAACACAGGCCACTTGAAATGCATACGGTGATGCACTACGGTGATGCACCAAGAGGGCGTGGATTGGAGCTGTACGAGTAAGTTAGTCCGTCATACCTCTGCTGCTCCCACCGGAAATGAAAGGCAGACGTGCAAAATGCCTCGCAAGATGAAAAGAAAAAAAGGTGTACACTGTGGCTGGTGCAGTCTGGACCTGGGTCTGGACCGTCTGGATCGTTTCATCGCCTGTCTCCCTCCCTCAGCCTGACGTCTCTTGCTGTACTGACGTACTCTGCCGAAGGTGCCGTCGCTGCCGTGAGTGCCCGTCGCTGCCGTTCGCCGCATCTCCCCGGTGCAGGTCTCCGTTGCAAGGGTAGCGCTTGTACTTTACACTGCTCTCCAGTGCATTCCCCTGGACTGGTTTACAAGGCTACGGAGCACGGAGCAGGTTGGGGTCTTGAATGGCCAGCGCGCAGAACACAAAAGCCGTGCCACAAACGAAACCCCTGGACCCTTGTGCAGGAAATCCTTCCTTTTGTTTCTCAACGCCCTGTCCCCCCCCTGCTCTTCCTCTCACTACGTCATTTTTGCTTCTGTGGCTCGCGGTGTGCTTTCTTATCCTTTCGTTTTCTGTGTTCTTTGACTTTATCCTTTCAAGCTCTGCATCGAATAAACTATTGTCAATAAAGAAGACCCTTGGGTTCTAGATCTTCCGTCCTCCCTATCCCGTAACCCGAACCCTGTTTTTCTGCCTCAACTGCCTATGCCTGACCTCGCAGAGAAGAGTCTGGACTGCTGGATTCGAGACAACTGCAAATACGGTGCAAATGAAGAGCTAGAGTACCCGAGACGCAAAGGCGACAGAGGAAGCAACCTCATTTCGGTGACGTCGTCTTGATGTCGGGGTTTCTGTTTGTCGGACCTGTCATGCTCAGCTGCCCGTCGTCGTGCCCATGATTGGCCAGGACGGTCCCCGTTTGGTGCCGTGTTTAATTGTCCCGGCCTGCATGTTTGCTTTCCCTGCATTGCTTTTGCCTCCTCTTGCTTGCATGCTTACATACCTGCCTGCCTGTCTGTGTGTCTGCCTGCCTGATCGTTTCGTTTCGTTTTATATTATGTTTTATTCTCTTTAATTTTGCTTTATTTTGTTTCGTTTCTTACCCATCCTTTGATAGTTTCGTGCACCCTAGCCTGCCGAGCCGTCACTCCACCGACGCAATGCTCTCGACATAATGCCCATCAGCAGAAAACAGATAAAAAACCCCGACCAGTCAGGGTGGTGGGGGTCTATGGCCAATTATCGTCAACGTCAGATGGTCAGTCGTTTCCCCATCTGCCCAGCAACCTCATTTGCCACCATGTTAAGAAAGAGTCGAGGCTGCAGCATGCGGAGTATCTGGGAAAGTAAAGTCGACATGGGCAAAATTGGCGAATCGACACGCAGAGTTGGCTGCGTCATCGCACGACATACCAGGTTACAGAAGCAAAACAGAACGTGACACTCTAAATTTTTTCATTTTCCAGGTAACGGTAGGTTAATGAAAAGTAATCCAAGCAATCCAGGGGGAGGCAAAAACGTCAGAGAGAGCATGCAGATTACGATATAGAGTGGGAAGCCCTCATGTGAAACGCCGAAAACGTCGACAGCCATCAAGTAAGCATTGTGAAACGCCGTTCCTGCTCTTTCAAGCCTGCCTTGATCATGTCACCATTTGCGTAATGCGTGCATACACATATGCAGGCAGTTGACAATCAATGGAGCAAATGGAGGACGACCATTCTCGTCGTATACGAGGGAAGATATGGATCCCTCGAGTTCGGCAATGCAATGTCACCAATCCCCTTGCATTGTTTGGCTATTTTTCTTATTTTCTTAGTCTTTTGGTTCCTTTGATCGCTTCAAATCCATCCCAAAATGGCCTTGGTAGTTGCGTTGCGTTACCTTGGTGTGCTGTCCCTCGCAATTTTCTGATGTCCTCGTGAGGGTGCAAATACGTTGTAAGGCGAGCACGGGAAAGGATCGGGGAGAGAATCGAACCGGTAGCCGTCTGAGTCCGAACCGATATGGGTTGGCCTGCACCTTGACCTGGACCTGAGCCTTCGAGCCTCGTCTGTGGGATCGAACCTGGTTTGGGAGGGAGGAGGGGGGGGGGGGGTGGTCCTGGCCTATGAACAGGGGCCTGGCGGGCATCTCACCCAATTTCAAATGACAGAAAAAAGGCGACACATCCAAAAGCCGCGACTCAGTAAAACGCTGCCAGTCGAAACCCACATAAATATGCAGGGGTTGGTGAGTGGGTGGTACAAATCACACGACATGCAGAGATCCATATCGGCCCTCTCGCATACATCGTACAGAACACGACAACATACTCTCCTGTGTGGTAATGGGGCCTTTACCAAGAATCAAGGTACGACGACGGAGAAGCTCGAATGCCAAAAACGAAAATGCACGTCTTGCAATATTAAACATTAGACATGAAAACGCTACGAGCGACAGTAAAGTGGTGGCAGAGCCACTTTTACAACGCTCAACACTGGCAAAGATCCACCAAGAGCAGCTCCGGATGGTTTCCTCTTTTGTCACTCGCCGTTTCCATGTCCCATATTCCCTTTTGCCTCTTCCCCCCGATTCTTGTTCGCGTCAGAATGTTGCGGCAGAATGTTGCGGGATTTGGGGGCGGAAGAAGAAAGGAGCAGGAGCGAGGCGATCGTGATCGTGATCGTGATCGTCATTGTTAGGCTACGTAGTGTATCTGACAGGGCAAAAGAGTGTTGGTGACGTGACTGAGGCGGGAGGGAAATGAAGGGAACTGCTTGACGGAGTATACGGAACTACTCCGTAGAAATGAGAACACTAACAAACACACATGGTGGACCAACGCCTCAACGCCTCAACGCCTCAATGCTCAATGCCTCCACGCGTCAACGCCCAACGCCTCAATTGATCTGGACCCCTTTGCTCAAACAACAAAGCTGTTGATTATGTGACTGATTTTGTGTATTGGTATTACGGAGTGCGCCAGGGGTCCGTCCCTCCCTGTGGACATGCGTAGGTGGATGTCCTGTCCACACCCCATTCATCTGTGGCTTATTCTTTGCTCGTCGTTCCCATTCTGGGATAACTTGACAAAGTGGACCAGAGGTACGGACTATTACGCGCAGGCGATTGTGGCTGTGCGACGCCCTCTTTTTTCGCCTCCCTCCCCGTCTTCCGCCCATGAAAACACGAATGGTGTCGTCGAGTCGCTGTCCAACCAGAGAATGGCTTCCCCTTTCGTTGGTTCCATTTGAGGTAAAGGTGCATGATGCATATGGAACAAGATGGAGATGTGCGTGAGACCGTGACAGAGAGAGACAAAGAGCCAGAGACAGAAAAACGAACGCCAAACAAGACAAAACGCAGCAGCCAGCTACTCTCATCTGCAGCTAATTTGCGGTTGCAGACTTTTGCGTCACCTGGTCCCTTGGCCCACACAAACAAGCCCCATCTTGAGCGCAACCCGCCGCAGAGCCTCATCCTTTGGAGGGTTCTTTTGCCGCCTGCACGTCGCCCTCTTTTCGACAAAATGTCGACAGACTGGCACAATTGACGAGCATTGTATCTCATCAGCTTGCACGATCTGCATCGCTTTGGGGGGGCATGTTTCCTTGCAGCTATTTTAAGTATTTGATTTTGGTGTATTGTGTCGTAGTCTGTGCTTATTTGACATTTTGATCAATACCACGTCCATCCTCATTCGCCTGCCTGGTCCGACACTCTCGTCGGTCAGATTCTCGTGCTTGCCATGTTTCTGTCTTCGGTGCAGTGCGGCAATCTCCTTGTCAGTCATCCGTCTCAGAACTGTAAATAGCAGTCGGACCAACTCATCGCAGAAGAAATAAAAATAAAGTGTGAGAGACAGACCAATCGCGCTGTCCCGTCTCTTGCTCCGCACTCGTCCTCTCTGATTGGCGACTTGAGTGACCATCTCGGCGGCCGTTTTTGCTTGTCAGAATGTTTTATTTTTAACGTGCGTCGCTTCCCTGCTACGACGGTACAGTCTAGCCAGTCTCACGGACGAAGCACCCTCCATCTTCCTTTGAAACGACACCACTTTAAACAATGTGTAAGGTCCCGTAAGGGTTCCCGATTCATCGTTTGCCTCCCAAAATTTCAAAATTAAATATCCTGCAGCGTTTTTGCCTTGTGGGCCATGGACAAGGAAACCCGTTGCCGCCTCCCGTTTCCATGGTCTGAATTTGACGTCGTCGGTCTGGTATCGAAAATAGAACGTATGAAGCAGAAAATAGACTTATCTTCGAATGCGATCCCTCTTCTTGGCACCTATTTCCAAGGTCTCGTTATTTTGTCATCCTGGCTGCCGTTAGCTCCCTCCCCGTGTCGACAAAAATAACTGAAAAAACGCCAGGTCAACTTGAACTAACCAAAATCATCAATTTGATAATCAAAAATAGTAGCCATCCCGTTACGACTCCCCCTTCTCGTGACTTGAAAGCGGAAAAAAAGCGGCCGGCAGTGAGGATGCCTAATCCCAATTTCTTGATGTTCACAACGTATTTCATGTCCTTCGTTGTCTTGGCCTGTTTCATGTTTCGAAACTAAAGCACAAGTTGCTGTCTTGCGAACCCTCTTGTTCGTGTCCGGATTTAGCCTACTGTGCATCTTGGGTATTCATTGGCCAGCCCCGTACGAGTATGATTGTAGGTTTATCCATCCTGCATCTACCTTTCTTGTCCCATGCCGCCATTTCTTATCTATTTTCGCGTCATCTTTTCGCCTCCCTCTCCCCCGTCTTTCGCTCGTAATGTTTTCTTTTTCCGTCTTCTTGGAACAGATACGCAACACTCACAGACCATCGGGTTTTTTTTTCGTCGAACGGTTGAGCCACACATTGAGCACGCTTTTGTGAGATGGGTACCCAATGGCCGATCCGCGTCGGGGTTGATGTCTAAAAAGTTAGGCGACGCCGTTTTGGTCTGAATTCTGTTAGACCCATTGAGGCCCGAACCTGCGGGATCCCGCCGCCAATGACAGGTGGTTCTTGGCTGCTTTTTGAACTGGTTGGGCTTTTGTTTTGTTTATTTCCCTGGGAGGATTTTTCCTTTTTTTACAGCAGTACATCTGCAGAGATAAAAATAAATCGGACAGACACGAAAAACGAGACAAAAACAAGAAACAGAAACACAAAGTAACAAGCAATATTTCTTAGCACGGAACCTTATTTGGGAAAAGTAAAAAATCAAAATCCGAAATATGTCAACGCTTTGCTCTCCATTGTCTCGCGTCCTCCCCACGTCGCCTTTCTTTCCATGGCGCATCCTCTTCCTCTTGCCACCCCCATGTTCTCCCATTTACCTTGTCTCCCGACAACCGCCGTCTCCTCGTTCCGTTTTCCGCTGCACGGCCAGTCGGCAATTCGTACGTCCGGTAAATTGCTTCCTTGTTTCTTTCCCAGCAGCGGTCCCAAAGACACAGGCGCCTCCGCCCCGCACCTCGTCGTTTCTCTTTTACTCGGCCTTTTTCTGGCTTTGGTGCCAATTTGCCACACAACCCGCTTCTCGCCGCGCTTGTTGTACGTATTGCGGGCACCGGTGAGAACGCCGCGAAACAGGCGACGATTTTCTGACTGTCACATTTTCGGCATCGCAAATGGGTTTCGGTTATGCCCGGAGTTAAAGGCGGTCGATGTCAGCAACATGTCAAATAATGACAAATGCAACGTGCGTGCACGGCATTGACGCGTATGCGTGGCGTACGAAGAAGACAGAAACAAGGCGGGCAGGGGTTAAGAAGCATCGAGTACAGTAAATTGAGTACATGGCACGCAGAGGGCACAAATCGCAAAGAAAGGAGTGGCACACGGCTGCACATCATTCTGTCTCTTTTCTTTCCTGTCGTTTTGCCTCCCTTGGCGCTTGTTTGTAATCTTATATTGGCCTCAAACAGGCACCCCCTTGTTTTGGACGCGAAGGTATTACGATGTTGTTCGTGCTCTGCATTTGCCTTCAGTCACTAGCCTTGTCACTCAGCCCGGTTCTCATAGGGCTGATGATTTGCCTCTCCACCCATCACCCCATCACCCCATCAGAAGACGGTTTGTCGGACGTAGTTCGTTCCGTCCCTGGATTGCGAGCCTGGAGTTAAGGAACAGCCTTTGACCCGAGTAACGTGATGTATTCGTGCATGTTCGTATGTCGTATATGTCGTCTCATATTGATACCGAAAGTGGAAGTAGAAACGAGCACAAGGCGGGGACGACGAGTCCAAGTACGAATATTGTGCGTACTACTGCATTCGTACGCCGTCTACGCATCTCCCCCTCCTCCCGCCTTGCCAGTACGCCGACCTTCGTTCGCCTATGAGGTCGCAATTTCTCTCCTGGCTCTGCAGGACCATGTCTTTGTCGTCTTCGTCGTCGTCGTCGTGTCTCTTCCCTGCCCTGTGGCCATTTGTCAGTTTCTTGGTGCCGAGCTTTTGCATCCTCCCCTAGTCGTTAACCTCCACAATTCACCTGCTTACGCTTCTTTCCTTTTGTTTATTCGTCTGGTCTCATCATCCGAGGTCTTTTGTATGTCAACTTGAGCCGCATCGTTGCAGCAAGAAAAGTGCAGACGAAGTCGACAACGCGGAGCCTACGACACAACGGGTGTGCCGCAGCCCGAGTGGAAAGAAGACGACGGGGAGCTTACGATACGACTGGGTCGCCAGGGCCATGGTTTAGTTTGCAGACGTCGCTCAGTCGTGCTGGTTGCACGCCAAAGTGCAATGGCCAAAGCCCAGTGTAACCTCTTCCGTCCCGCTCAGCTGGGTGGCAAATTCCCTCCCAATAGTTAGTCCGTCATTACAACGTACAGGCGGCTGTTTGATCATTCAAATGCTCCCATAATACGTTGTACATTGCATGAAAGCCACAAAATACGCCGGTAGGACAAGCGACGCAACATCGTAGGCCAAAAAACGCCCAGCCTATTTTGCCAACATCTGGATCCACCATCCCAACCTGCAGCCCTCCCGCCCTCTCTTTTAGACGCGCTCTGAGGAAGTCCGAGGAATCTAGCAAGAAAAGGGAGGAAGATGCCGAGAAGGACGTGATACACAAAAGAAAACAATAAAAAACGCCCAACAACTAGTATTGGTTAAATCAATTTCAATTTCGAACAATGCCTGCGACGCATGTCGGAAACGTTACAAGCAAGCACAAGACAATAAAACAAACACAAACAAAACACATAAACACACCAGGGATGAACAACAAATAACCCACAGCAGCCCAGCCGTGGTTGGCCTCCGTCCTCTCCCGTAGCGTTTGATTCTTCTGGATTTCCTGATTCCAAATCCGCGTTACGTCTACTGTAAGCCGATTCTGTATATTCGTTGTTGTGTTTGTGATTGCGTCTTGCGTATGCATTCACAACCTTTCGATGATCGTGCGACCGTGCATGCGTCGCCCCCAGCCTCATCCCATCATCAGTTCCATCGTATCTCGTAGAAAAATTGTTTCATTTGTCGTTTGTGGCTCGTTCTCGCTTTCGTCTTTCCTTCCCACCGCATGTCCCTTCTTCCCTCGGCAACTTGGGAATCCACGGCAACTAAGCGACCAATACTAAGCTTGCGCGTAAAGAGGCTGACGATGGCGTTCGAGAGACCAGTCTCAGCGAACAGAGAACAAAGCCCAGCCCGAAATCATCCTTGATGGCTGTCGAACTGGGCGGCGACGAATCAAGGAGGACTCGGCTGGCGAATCGCTGGATCGTAAGGAGAAGCTGCGAACCGGGCCGAAAGTAAGACGAGGCCAGAGGCGCTTTGTCGATTGACAGCGTGACCCATGCCGCGTTTGTCGGCCGTCTCGTCGGCTGAATAGAGAGAACGCAAAATGCAAATATGTTGACGATGATGCACCGCCTTTGGCTCGGCAGCATTGGCGCAGAGACGCCGAGTATGGGCCGAGGTGCCAATTCTTGTTGGCTTGGGCGCTGGTCGCCCTCAAGTGGTACAACAAAGCTGTGACTAGCCCAAAAGCTGCCGTTCACCGGCCTCAACTCGGTGCTTGGGAGAGTAAAGGTTCAGGAAGTCGTCTGGTCAGTTGGACACGCGGACACGCGCGGAGGTGATTCCCAGCCCCGTCGCGCACAACCTCTATCGCGGTCGGCCTGCATAACATTGGCGCCCCAGTCCAAAGTCTAGAGCGAAGCTAGGCAAAAGACACCGGCATATGAAAGTCATCGGCTTTCGTTCATATCCCTGGTATGCACTGGTCGGTTTGTTCTGTCGGACGGCACATCCTGCCCGACAGCTTGTTGCCTCTCGTCGAGCTGCTATCGACGGTCACAACACAATGATCCTACCGCCATAAACGACAGGTTCATGCAACGCCACAACACCATGGCAACACCAGTTGGAATCGGTAAGCCGAGCCAATGGTGCGGTCTATCATTCGAACGACAGGGTGTGGCTAGCTACATCCTGCTAGAAGGGCAAATTCTGCGTATATGTGACGGAGGTCGACCTTTCGATAGTGCTGTGCTCCGGCGGGTACAGTTGTCGGTCGGGAAAGGCGCGGGGAGGCTTTGTGGGAAAAAGGAATGATCGATTGGTGGAGAAATTGGGACGCTCGCCAGGATCGTATGTTTCTCGCGGCCTGCAGGAGGTTGTCAGTTGTTGGGCTAAGAATTGAGAAACGGATGGTGGGCAACATAGTTGTAGTAACCAGCATATGCCGTAGCACTTTGCTTCAACGCGGACGCTGACCATCTATACCGGCCGTCCGGGCACTACCTTGTATCCGGCCCAGCAGCCGCACCATCGCTTGATGACAAGTCTCGATGCAGACGGACGAGCCGGCTGTGTTTGGCTTCGTCTGCTCTGCCACGCCGATCCATACCTGTCCACATCGCCTCGGCAGTAGGCACAATCACTCGATCGTTGCCTGCCAACCGTAACGCTGAATTCAGCCTGTCTACTGGCGCTGCCAGTCCCTTCTCACGAAGCCATTTGGACTAACGTCCCATAACGTAAACCAACCGTAAATCTGCAGACAGACTCGCCATCCGACACTCGTTCAAAATATGCTCCATCTGTCTCCATCACGGCCCGCTCATGCTGACGGTTATGCGCTTTGCGTCATATCCAATCGGCCACACTACTACTTGCGTTTCGGCTTTGGTGTCTGTAGTAGCTCAACATGATCCTTCGCCGCTGTACCCTGTGCTCCGTCCCCAGGCCTTTTTGACTCGTCCCAAAACCCAAAGGACATGGTCAGCTGATGCAGTGAGTCCAGAGCCCATCGAACGGTAGTCGTGCCGAAAAAGCTCGCTCGCCTCGCCGGCCAGATCAATAACCAGGCATCGGTTGACCCGGACAGACGCCCCAAGTGTCGATGCCAACAACACTGCTCAGTTGGTGGTCAAACAGACTGGACATGCTTCTGGCAGCTTCGATGGCAAAGACGTGTGAGCTCTGTTTCCAAGGAACAAGCTGCTCCGTTGGATGGTACGGTCGAGGGACGAGAAAGCGGCCTGTTCAAGAAATAAGCCGGTCGAGGCAGCAGTCTAGCAAAAGCACTCGCATCATCAATTTCTTTGCATGTCTACCCATGCCATGCTGCGGACAAACTGAATGGCAAGTCAATTGCCGCCTCCGAACAGTGGCAGGCGTGTCAAGAACTCTTGTGATGGTGGTCATTCCAATGTTTTGTAATCCGTATAAGAAGCCTCTTGGTAATGTAAAAATGCGAGTGGTCGTATGCTCGCCGAGTCGCAAAAGACACAAGCATTCCTCGCTCAGTGACACAAGAAGAAACGGTTCCACAGATCTGGTCATTCCGTTTCATTTTGTCTTGTCTCGACAGCACTGGAACAAGTTCGAGGGGATCGGTTTCCAAGGGAGACTTTGCTTGTAGGACAGAAATGAATCGAGTGCAGAAGTGGCTCCTGTGTGCGTGCCGGTGTCAGCGCTTTCAAGAGTCGAAGAAAGCAAAGTCTCATAAGCAAAATCGTGTAAGTGCCATTGGGAGGCAGAAATGTAGCTCTTGACCGGAAATCTGGCACAAGACGACTGGGTTTCGTCCACATTCCTCGGGAAACCTGTAAGTGCCGTTGAGTTAGAACCGGCATCACACAAAAGACCATGAAAGAGATACCCACCAGTGTTCCATACTTCGTACAAGATATCTGGCTGCAGATGCAACAAAAAAAAACATAAATTCGATGCCAAGCCGACGACAGCCTGCGCTCAAAGGTGGCGGAGAACACAAGGATATGTATGTTTTGTCGTGACCACCCCATGTCTCCAATTGCCCGCAATGCGCGGATCTGTTTTCTCAAAGGACCTCCTATTATTGTTGTCGTTCTTTTTGAGAAGAATTCGATTCATCTCCGGACTGCACGTTGCCCCTATTTTCGCCTTTTTTATTTTTTGGTCGGCCCCATTTTGATAGTGGTGTCCCCCTGTTCGCCACTTGCTAATAAACCTCTAAACATCCGCCCACCAGATGCGCATCCGAGATTGGACATGCAATGCAAGTTTCATGAAGATCTTTTCCTCGTATTTCTGGTGAAGAAAAGGAAGCAGAATCGACGAGGAAATGGTACCCTTCTGCCCCGTAATTTTGATTCAGATTAAACTGGCCAACTTGGGGCTGGGGCTGGAGCGGTGAGTGGTCGTCATTTTGCAATAGCCCGTCGAACTCCGCAACAGAAGACCGCTCAAGGCTGAGACAGGCTGATGGGCGGGCCTCACTGAGATGCAGCCGCGTGAAGCTCTTCTAAGCTTGTGAAATTGTTGCCGAATTGTCAATATTTTCTGCCCAACCGATGTCAAAATGAACAAGAAAAAACCAAATGATATCACACACATTGCACTTCAGCTCTCTCGGTTAGCGGAACAGCAAACCACTAGAGACAAAGATTCTCAATGTCTGCGCACCCAAAACTAATCTGAGATGGAGTCCCCAGGCCATCTGGTATGGTCTTCCCTGACTTAAAGGGGAGGGGAGGCACGTGGTCCACAAATTCTTGGGTTCTTCTTGTTTTGCTGGTCTCCCTTCGTTCTCCACCCTCGACGCGAATTGTAGAGGAAAGAGAGCCCGCATTCATTCCTTTGCCGAGAGACTCGCCGAGGCGTTTGTCGTCAAAGGTGAACCTATCGTCTTCATATCTGCCCTGGTCGTAAGGACTATTTACACTCCGGTCGATGCGACATGATCTGTCATTCGAGAGCAAATAGCGTCTTACTGGGCTCCAGACTCCAGTACCCACTGAGTCCGTAATGATTCTGTATTCCCGTACGGAGTAATACACGGCGCAGATGCCATGAACATACAGGGCTCCTGGTCTTGATCTGGCCTCCCATGGGTCGCGGTCTAGCCCCGCCATCAAATTCCGCCAAGTGGCCGCTGAAAGGGGCGAAAGCTTAACCCAGGTGAATGGAGGACCTGTCCCGCAGACCTTCCTATAGAGCTAGAGGCGAAAGGTCCAAAAGCGGGCGGTGGTCGGAAAGTGACTCGTGAGCGACCGGCGGTCCCGTCACCTCCTTTTCCGAAGCATGTCGCGCTCGAGAGTGAACAGCATTTCTTATTTTCCAGGTTTCTCACACTTGTTTGTCTCCATTCGCGTCAACAATGTGTCCCACTGGCACCTCAATAGCTCATCTCCACCCTCATCTGGCATCAAGAATAGTAACAGCACAGAAAAAAGAGGATATGAGTTGGACCCAGAGAGATCCAGAGTACGAATTTGGTGGACAGGGAAAAGCGAAGGCGACGGTGGAAAAGGAGAGTGTGGAGACGTATCGTCGATACGGAGTGGGATAATCAAAGCCCCTGTCCGTGGTTTAATGGGCAGAGGAGAAGCAGAAAGAGAAGCCGAAGTTGAGTCGACAGAAAACAATAGTTTAAACACAAAGCGGGCCGTCGGAGTGCATTTGATGAAAGCGAGTGGAACTGAGCTTTACCGAAAAGACACAGAAAAGGAAGAAGATGAGGAGAAAGAGGGGACGGAAAAGGCACGCAGAGGTCCAGAACCAGTTTAACGTAGCAGAAAAGGGGCGACAGGATATACACAGACATTTCTTAAGCAACCACGGCGGATACATGAGATCGGAAAGGAGGCTGGACGCTCCTGCTGGATTTTGCAATAATCTTTCACTTATTTTCACCAGATATGGCAGGCACGTCCGGATACACACAGCCCAATAGTTCTGTTCTTGCGTATTTTCTGTCTTGGAAGGTGCAGGCTGCCACATCCTATCTGCGCTTTCCATCACTCGTAAGCCATGGTGTGGTGACGGTGACGCGCGCTACACATCCGTGCTGTCTGAGGCCTCTTAGGTACAGTCCCATTCCAACTGTGCTTCATTGGTAATTACGACGCAACATTCGCCTGTCATTCGCTCGTTCTTCTTGTTTGGCTCGTTTCGTTCGTGCAGGTTTTTGAGCGACGCGTGCGTACCTGCATTAGCGCCTGTCCACCCGTCAGGGTTGCGGGGAACTTATTGGACCGCCGTTGCCACTGACAGTGCAAGCGCGTCTGGTTTTGTCTCTGAAGGGTGCTCTTTCCCTTTCGTCTGCCTACTCAGAAGGCCAGCTTCGAGACAGCGCCAGCATCAGCGACCCATCTTCAAGAGGCAGAAAACGTGGAATAAGGTCTACGTATGTATGTATCTTACGTTACAGTCAGCCACGGTGCTGCATTACACAAAAACTACGTCGTGTACAGGGGACGGAAGCTGTGCATATCAGAACTTGTCTTACCGTTAAAGAGCAGGACAATTCTGTCGAAGATAATGGCAATGTGACGGGTTGCCCTTTCTGGAAGGAACGGGTGTTCGTTCTGGTAAGAGCCATACCAAGACGGTGGCAGTAACACAAATCGTCCCTTCCATCTACGAAGTACGACTACACTCAAGAAATGCAATCGTGGCCTTCCCCCGCTGGTATCACAAACGGTAGCTGAGCAAAACATGAAATGGTTCCCCAAATTAGGAAGGCTCAGAAAAAGGGGAAGGAGCCGCCCGGCTACGATGGGAGGTCTCTCTCGAAGCCCCTCCCCTTCTACTCACTTGAGCCACCCCATGTCCATAATGCATTGATTCTTCCAGGGCCAGATGCACCAGTGGAAGGAAACAAGAAAATGCGGAGGGGGATGGAACATCGAAACGAAACGCGGAAGCCTGTCCATCCTGCTCCTTCATGGCCACCAGTCTTGCCACGGCTGGCTTGGGCTGAACCCAGTATTGCACAGAGCCCTTCTCCGACGGCAAAGAGCAGCGTTCGGTCTCCTGAAACAAACACAGAAAACGGACAGACTGGGCCAGATCAAGGACCGAAGCTGGAGCACATCTGCACAGCACGAAATGGCTGTCTCCACATCAGACATGGCCTAATTAGCACAACACAGTACAACATACTCCATGCAGGCGGCTAAGTTACTATGCACAGAAGAACGCAGTACGAATCTAGGATATCGGAAAATAGGGAACCAGCGCAAAAGACAAGGTGCACGAGGCGCGAAAAAAAAAAGAAGGTCACGATATGGTCCAACTCGCGAACACGACGCGATTATGAGGCGGCGCTCAGCAACTGGCCTCCAGCTCATTCTGCTAACGAAAAGGTGGCACACGTTGTGGCACAATGCGATGTCAAAAAAGAAGGCCAAGAAGAAGGGAAAGTGAAACCAGAGAGCTCTCGTGACCAACTTGGTTGTGCTTATCCAATCCCAATCGGTCCAGAGTTGGACGCTGAACGGATGAATTTAGCTTTCTCCTTTGCAGGCGTCTGAGAGGTGGCCAGACAAGCTTACAAAAAGACGCCGACTTGGAAACAAGAGAAAATGGCAGGCAAAAAGGGCCTTTCACAACTGCTCCGCGCTCATTTCTCTTTGAAATCACCGCAACGCTGATCGCATTTCACGCTGGTGCGTCGCAGTGTGCATCGGTGTCGACCAAAATATCCCGAGTGACACTCCTCTCACCACCTACCTTTGGCTCTTGGAGTGGCCGCCGGTGTTTGGGTGGCGGCTTTATTTCTTGTGGACGTTAAAACAAGATTAAATCGATGCTTAGCAACGATCCCAGATTGGCCTGGCCAGACCACTGTCGTCTGGTGTTTTGGCGAGTCACAGCAACACGACAAACGCAATAATGTGCTTGCAGGCGACTCTCCCAGCAACCCACCACCCCTGCACGGGTTAATAACAATGTCGATTAAAAAGTGCAAAATGAGCATCCCCATGTTAAGCGCTCTCCTCCAGTCAAGATGCACCGGAGGCGCAAAAGAGGCGCCCATCAGGCCCAACGACTCGCCGTGAGAACTTTCGACAATACTGGGTAATACACACTATCGCCGCCGTCATAAAACAGAGAATAGGGGCCAAATGTGCTTTCGTACGGATGCATCTTTGTTCAGTCTCCGCCGCGCAGCTCTCCACCCTCAATCCCCTGTCTCCTTTTCTTCGTCTCGACGACGATGTACTGTGGTGCATCTCGTATTTCATGGAGGCCAGAAGCTTTGTTGGCATGATATAAACGGGGCTCAATTTTGCAACTAAAAAAAATCGCGACAAGGATGGGTGCAGTGGAAATGACGCGCTCCAGATTCGCCACCGGCCTGGCAAGCTTGGACGCCAGTGTCAGCGCCTGGAAATGCCCGCACAACGGTTGCACCGGGCTTCCACTAGTCAGGAACACAAAGTTTATTGTGTGTGTGTGTGTGTGTGTGCTCAAGTTGCTGAGCAAGACTGCAGCGTCCACCAACGACGACAAAGAACCAGTGTCTGGTCCTGGCAGTGCGAAAGCGCAACCAGCCAATGAGCTCCCCGCATTACAGGCCGCTCGACGTTGTGCTCTTGAAGCGCGCATCCACCGAGCCCCCTGGATTAGCGTCCGGACGGAGGCAACTGAGTTGCTGCCCTGGGAAATTAAACAAAAAAACACTGGACGGGAGGTGGCCGGGGTGCAGGAGATGAGGGCGTCCGGGGTGTGGCAGTAGGGAACGTCTTTGGCAGGTTCTCACCCACTTTCTCTTTTTATGTGACAGAAGAAAAAGAGAGCAGCGGAAATCGAAAGTGGGCTTGGAAAAGGGGGTGTGGGCCTGTCCACACGATGGCCAGGAAAGAAGGCATGCTCGCAACAAGCCTACGAACGAGACAGGATGTGCGGTCCTGACTCTCTCTCCTGTCTCTCTGGACAGGGCCCTTCTTGTTGGTCTTGCCACGAGCGCCGCTCTGTACTCCGTATGCTCGTCGAGCTATTTAACAGTCGCTGTTCCAGCACCTCTCCTCTCGATTATTCTTTCTCTTTTCTCTTTCCTTTTTTCTTCAGCCCAACAAGACAACTCACTTTGCATCTATTGCTCAATTTTGACTTCGGTCGTCCATTCTTTAAAACAAATCATTAAGCTTTTTAGCTTCAGTCACTCTTTTCAAACACCCTATTCAACCATCCTTTTTCACATCTCAACCCTTTTTTAGGTTCAACCTTTTCATCCCTCAAATCAGTCAAAATGCGTTTCGCTGCTGCTGCCCTTTTCTTCGCTGGTGCCGTCATGGCCGGCACTGAGTCTCCTGCTGAGAGCACCATCTACAGCACCGAGTACCAGACCATCACCTCGTGCGCCCCGGAGGTCACCAACTGCCCTGCCCGCACCTCGACCAAGGTCCACCCCCTGACCACCTCGACTGTCTTCTCCACGACCGTCCACACCATCACCTCGTGTGCCCCTGAGGTCACCAACTGCCCGGCCCGCTCGACTGTCTACTCGACTGAGGTTGTCGCTGTTTCCACCACCATCTGCCCGGTCACGGCCACCGGTGGCGGCCACTACTACAACACCACCGTCAACACCAAGACCTGGTCTCCCACTGGTGGTAACGGCGGCAACGGTGGCAACGGTGGCAACACTGTCCTGCCTGTCACGACCCCGGCTGCTTGCCCCACCTACTCCGTCAAGACCATCTCGACCTCGGTCACCACTGTCATCCCCACCGTCATCTACGAGACCGTTGCCGTCCCCTGCCCCACCACCCCCGGCGGTGGCTCCGTTGGCACCAACACTGGGTATGTATTTCCATGTTATCTACGAACGTGAGCGTTAGATGAATCCTAACTAACAAAATTTAGCTCGCACACCGCCCCGACGACCGTCGTCACTGCCGGTGCCGGCAACGTCGCCTTCTCGGGCGTCCTGGCCGCTGCTGCCGGTCTTGTTGCCATTGTCCTGGCATAAAGGCCCAGCTGATGTCTTTTCCATCAATTTTTGACTTCTCTTTTGTCCCTTTTCTTTAGAAAAGCCTGGAAGGCTATGGCATTTATGAACGTACCGTACCATATGGGGCTTTCTGGCGAGTTGCTTTTTTAACAAGCAGTGGGAAGTGTTGGATCTTTGTTCTCGGCATCTGTGGAACAAAACTTTGGCATGGATCATTGGTTGTTTACCTTAATCTTCTAATTGTATTTTTTTGGGTTTCCAGATTCTCTTGCCTTTTGATCAGAACGGGAGAGTTTGGATGCTCTTTTTTAAAACCCCTTTTCTTTGACTGATTTTTTTGATACTCGAGCTGTTGGTGAATTGATTTTTTTTGTACACATGCGTTTTCTGAAGTGACCTGTGTTTCAACAAAATTGTGTGTACAGGAACGACTAACGTTGCCAAAACAAACAAAGCGGTGCAAAACAGAAGCCGATGAAAGGACGACTACTAACAGTCCGTTTCCTTGGTTTTCGAATGGTTTTCCCTCTTTCCTTCTCTTCTACTCCGTATTCTCCTCGCCTCTTGTGTTCATATTCCAAACTCGCGCAATTACCGACAATAGTGCCAAACCAAACCAAACAATAAAACAGCGGTCTGGACTGCCCAAGAAAGAAGGCAAACCCATAACAAACAAACACTATGTCGCTCTCGTGAGATGATCGTTCTAACCCAACACTTGAAAGGGTCCATTCGATAACCCCACATCTCATTTCCCGAGCGTCGTACTGGAGCAATGACCGGCGTGGATGAGACGACACTAAACCGCATTTTGCTGCGGACCTTGTCCACCATCTGACACGTCCGCCTGCCGGAGCGCAGTTGTACCTCTTTGCATTTTTATACAGAATGTTGGTGAGAAGGTACATTCTGTCACCGTTCGCCAGAGCAACATCTTACGAAATTGCACTGGGGCTACTTCTGCACAGCCTCCCACAACAAGGTTAGCCAGGAACCAACCCCGGTTTGGTGTCTCCACTCGCTCATCGTTCCGGAGTTGACATCTTTCTGGACGTTTCTTTACTCCCGTGGTTTGTCTCCTTTTTGGGAGGGGGCCGTGTCAAGAGTCATGTTGTTTGAAGTCATGTACTTTTGTACTGAAGTAGCGTACGGATGTACCAGTCGGGCCGTCGAGCGACTCGACTACTCTCTCGCCCAAAATTGATTAAATGGCCGAGGTGACCGACGTCGCCGCGTCACGACATGATCTTCGGGAGAGATCAGAGGTTGTGAGGCTTTTGTCGATGAAGATCTTAATTGACCTTGGCTCTTGGCTTGGATGAAAAAGTCCGACCGGCTTCCAAACAAAACAGACGGCAGGGAGAGCGGTATCGTTTGGATTTTCGGCCCTTTCTTCAATGTTTCGTTTGCACGTTACATGTGACTTTCTGCTTGGTGAGAGTGAGATGGACGCTGCACTGTGGGCAAACTTGGACAGACAATGCACATCAAGTAATTGTACTACAATGTTTTGCTGTCTTTGCATTTTGTATATTCGTACGTGTTGACGCTCGCGCCGCAGCGAGTCCTCTGTCAAGGGATCCCTTCCCCGTCCACGCTCCGCCAACTCTTTGTTGTCTCGCCTAGGAGCGCGTTTCAAGGTGGCAACATTGTCTTTCGTTGGCAATGTATGCCGTGCCAGAGGAAGCTAGGCACACTTCTTTCTGGTAATGACTTTGTGGCATCTGGACCGGTGACACTCCAAACGCCTTTGCTCTGGTCGTACGCGTGCGAGCAAGGCTATTGTGGCATTAAGGACTGTGCGCCTTCCTTCTCTTCTAGGCCCTCCTCCATGGTGAATCTCATCCTACGACGCAACAGGGAGATGTGACACAGCCGCTGCTGCATGCACTTTAACAGTGACTCCCAAATGGGAAAGCGGGTGGCCGGCAGGATCCGGGCAGACCACTTCAGCTTTGCGCCGCTAACCAGGCCATGTTCTTTGCTCGGTTTTTTCTTTGCCGCCCATTCCTTGTGACGCGATTGTTTACGTGCATCTGGGATGGATAAGCGAGATCTGGACCCGATGCCTGTCAAGGTAGCGCGATATGAGAGAGACATGTCCATTTTTGGCAATTTAAATCATTGCGTCAACAAGGTCAAGTCGATGAACCTTTTCGAGGATCCCGATCGCGATCCCTTCAGTCCTCTCAGCGCCGACGTGATTATCCACGGCCCGTCTTCAATGTCCGTTTGATGGAGAATGCGATTGCGTCACTGGATCCATTCTTCGATGTTGTTGATCGTGTGGTGGGGTTTGCGTGTCAGGAATGCGCGTCATATCGCGACTTCTGTAAGTGCAGACAAAGTCGCGGTTGTATCGGGATTTGACTTGATATGTTTTTTTACTGTTTTGTTCTCGGTGCTCGGGAGGAGTAATGAGTTGCGAGGTGGTTTGTGTTTTGTTTAATTTGTTTTGATTTTTCGTTGAAAAAAAAAAAGAGAAATATTTTTATTTTTACATGTATTTGTTTTCGGTTGCTATACATTTTACGCTTCATAAAATTCGAAGTATACCAAATCAAATAAGTACCATTAAATCGCAACGAACCAGCACTCGCCTTTCACCCCCAAAGAACAAAGATACAGCAAAGTGGCCAGGGACGAATAGCAGGGAGCACAACAAAAGAGACAATTCGTCGTTAAGATACTACGTTCATCGCAGGATGCATCACATCCCTGTGCATCTCAGCCTTGCCCGACATCACGACCAATGACGTAATTGCTTTTAAACAGATGAAGCGAGAGACATCCATCTAGAAGATCGCCGATCTTCAATGGCCAATGCGACGTATTGTCTCTCCAACGAGGCTGCTGTGAACCGAAACTCGAACCTGAAATAAGAACCCGAAACGAGGCTTGCTCCTAAGAATTCCATACAGATCCGACGGACAACATCCAGTAGAGCTGAATCGGCACCGAAGTGCAGCGTCAGCAGGGTCCGAAACAGACATCAAGTGCATCCGTTCCCCAGAGAAGCTTGGCGGTTATCGAGTCAGTGTGTTTGACAGTGTAAATAACAACCGACACAGTATATTTTCTGCTTACGGCAATCGAGCAACAAACATCGGATCTGCCAGCGAACTCTTTGCCATCTCCTTTTCTTTGTTATATCGTCTTCTTCCCGCTCTATTTCTCCTCGGTTCTCTCCACTTGCTCCTCTCACTACTTTTTTTCTACTTTCATTTAACATTCCATATAAGAGCACTACAAGGCACACTAACAAGCCCAACCGCAGGCGCATATAATATTATTACTAATAAAGGCTCGCTTTACAAGTTATTATTAAAAATATGTTTACTTTTCTGTTACGCACTGGCGTGGTTGTCTGGGATATTCGAGAGGTCAACCGATTAGCACACGCAAGGCGTAAACGTCACTGTCTTCAAGATGCCAGGTAACGGAACAGAAATGAATGTATCAGATGTATCACGTCTCAGAAGGCTGCACTTTGGTATGGGTTGTGAATAATAGTTGATAACGTATGTGATGAAATTGTTGGATTGAATAAACTAATGAGACCGAATTACAGGTGAGAGAAAGGACCTAAGTAGCGCCACAGCGTGGCGTAGTGCCAGGCTCCCAAAGGGAGTCCGCGCGTAACATTTTCAATATAAGCGACTTTTAATTGTCTTTCCCCTTTATGTAAATAATCAACCGGAAAGGGCGAACCAAGTCCTTAAGTAGTATTTACGTTGTTTTACTAAGAAAAATCAATTAATTTATGTATGTATGTATGTAGGTTTTTTTTTTTAACTTTCACTTAATCAGCGAGAACGTTTCTCGAAAACAAAAAGGTACTGTTCTAAAATTAATAAATGACCAGTTTGGTCTTATTGGAAACGGCACCTCCTCTTCCGCTTTCGCCAGAATGTCGCATCTACCAAGACAGACGCACGTCCACGACAAACTTGACGCCCAAATGCACTCTTAGATTCAGATGAACCAAAATTGCTGTGCCTTTCTCTTTGTAGTTCTTAAAGTTTTGCCTTCATACGACCAACGCGGATTTTCGCTCACACCTGGCTTCAAGTAAATCTGGTTGATGTTTGGTGATGCCTTTCAACTGTGCACACGCGTGGCATACGGCGTATATTGCGGCGTACGTATCGGCTATTATATCGCATGATATGTCTTTTTGGTCACAATAGATTGCCTGACCGATTGACCGCATTATGCGCCACCTGTGCCTGCATCTACAATACCCTGAAATATCGCGATGCCGCATTGGGTTGTCCATCCACCTGCATGTTTTTGCAGCTTTCTGCAGCTTTTCATGCAGGAACAGACGAAAGAGAAGCGGCGGCGGCCCTGTCATAAAACTCTTCCCTTTTATTCGTGCGTTGTCGTTGCCCCATTCCTATTTCCTCGAAGCGTGTTCAGGAACAGACGGGCACACTCCCACGGGCAGCGAACCGGCTAAAGTAGGCGCAAAGATTGCTCTATTTACCAATCCCCTCTGCTTTGGCTTTCGCTAAATTTTATTCTACGGCGTGATTTGATCTCGTGCTTGGCAATATATCACTCCTCCCCCTTCCCTCTCGAACGGCCCTTCCGATATGGATTTGCGTACGACTGGCCAGGACATTAAGAAGTGGTTTGAATCAGCCGCGTGGAGTTCAATATACGCCCGAGTTGGCCATATTGATCGAGAGGGACCGAGAGGAGCTGTGAACACGTCTGTAAAAGAGACATACAAAAAGACGTGGAATAGAAAAATGCTCCCCATGCATCCTGCCTGCATCGCGACTGCATAGTACATCCTCAACGGTTGAGCGCTATGGTTGCTTTGGCCGTCGACATTCTAGCCACCGGCACCACGCCCCAGCTCCCATTTCCATTCGCGATCCCATGAAAAGGAAGAGAGAAACAGACACACGACGCTGTTCATAAAAATGAGATTGCACACCCTTCGTTGTGGAATGGTCTTGTTGGCGGCCATCGGCATGACCGTGGCACAGCAAAATCAACCACAGATC